AATTGTAGAAAGGCATGGAGTGCATCACGAATATGAATTCTCATTCCACTGAATTAGGTTGGAACTCTAAATTTCGAGCAGCTTCCAGCTTAGTCCTCCAACGCCAATCTGTCATGCTGACACTGATAACATAAGTAGAGGGATGCCCCTCTGTGTCTGATGTAGGATGTTCCAGGTGAAGTTGCAATAAGTCATAATTGGCGTGGTTCTTCAGACTCTCTTGAGCTCGTAATAAGGATCAATTGGATACAGTATTGTGGCCTGGAATGGGTAAGGTCCTCCTCAAACTGGTGGTCATCTATATCCTCTTATACATCTGTACGGAGTCGTAATCTGATGGAAGGATATTCTAAAAAGTTTCAAGAAACCCTCTTTTCAATTTGGGCTTTCCTTGCTCCCATGCTGGTATCTGAAGTAAAAAAAAACAAAAAAAACATAATAACACTATTAAAGGCAACACAATGTGCTAAGGAAATAAAGAATTGGACCCTACCGCCACTTATTTTCGTCCCGGAAAACTTTATCAGTCAATGCTGAAATTAAGTTTCTGTAATCGTTTCTCAATACTTATTTCTATTCAAACAGTAATGGATAACGTAGTAAAATTCATTACCGAAGAAAAAAAAAAAAAAAGGGCTCTCCAACATTTTTATTCATCATTGGTAGTGGTAAATTATTGTTCAAATATAGCAAAAAGATGATTAAACAATAAATGATGTTAATCACCTTTTTCTATACATATTAATCAAACAATCGAAAATATAACTAAATCCCTAATTGGCAAAACTATTCACTGTCGGAACTTGAATACCCAGCCATATTTAGCTAAAAAACCTATATATCATAAAAAGTGTTCACTGCTTTGTCTACTTTTATAACTCTGGGTGTTCTTGACTCACTAAAGAATAACTGACAAAAAAACACAGTATACCAAGATAGCACAAAATGTATGGGGCCATGTGGTTATATCATGGGCAAATTGTGCGGACCCACATTTGCCCATTAATGTCCCCACATGGGGGTGGAAACAGGGTATTCATGTGAGCCCATGGGGCAAAAGGCAAATGTGGGCATGAGTGGGGGGATGTGGGCAATGATTTTATTGGAAAAAACGTGGGGGGTCCAGGGCCACTCGAACTTGTATGAGATTTACATGAGGCAGTTTACAATCATCAAGTACAACACAAGCTTGACCAGTAGCAGTAGTAAAGGCTACTGGCATGCTACTAGACTCTGGTAGGTAGGTAGAACACTAACAGTAAAAAAATGAAACCATTTTCAGTTATTACGTTAAGTTTATATATCTATTTAGTTAGAATTTACAGAAAAACTGGAATCAAAATTAAGTATAACATATTATTTAAAACAAAACCAAAAATTAATCCACATTCTGTTTCAACATTTCCGGTACAAAGGTGGAAAATTCAGGACACTCGCATGCCAGGGCAGTTTGGCCAAAAAGAAAACATGCACTGTTCTTTGCAACTGTCTGGAGCTGAAACTGTTCATCAAAAAAATAATTTCTTATTTAAAACAAAACCAAAAAAAATTAATCCACATCGTTTTTCAACATTTCCCTCGCTTCTGGCTCCTGTTGCGGTGGTTGTGTCCCTTGGCAGCTTGTCCCTTGGGATTTTGCGACTCGAACTCGTCCCTGCTATAGTAAACCAAGATAAATGGACTTCATTAACTCTTGTCCGTGGCAGACTTGTAGTCTTATGTCTCCTTATGTCTTCTTGAAAAGAAAAAAAAAACTGTTATTATAATTCTTGAACTAGTAATTCATAATTCAATGGTTAAATAACCACTAATGTAATATATTTATCTACCCGCACAAGTATATAAAACGTAATGATGCTTTTCAAAATAAAGATTTACAAATGGATGTATAAATACTAATATCTAGCAACATATCACTGAAAACTTTTAAAATATATTACAAATTAATAAGAACTTCAAAAGACACGGAGTTTGCCTGTATTTAAAAGGGACATTTCGCTAGATATAGAAACATTCAACCGTTTTAGACTATTTTAGTTTCAAAAAAAAAGAGTAAATTATTTTTTAGACAGCATAATTACTCATCTTAAGTGAGTCAATACTCAATTTTACTTTCTTACAGTATGTTACAAAATCCTTAACATTATCTTACCATCTTTCAATCTAGTGATAAAACTAAATGTCTGTCTAAAACAAACGTTGTTTTTTAAGTACATAAAACTCCACATTTAGTCCCCTTATCGGATATATCACCCCAGACTACTTGGTAGTTACTCTATGCGCGTGAGACAGTTCAAGCAACATGCAGTCAACATTATAACGTCAAATGCAAAGTGCCAGAGTGTGCGGTATGTATTTAAAGACCTTAGAATGACTAATATTGAGACTTCAAGTTGGATAAAGGGTGATACATGGCCTAGTCTTTATTCCATGTATAATTTTACCTATTTTCAATTAGTTGTCAGTATTGTCTTGGAGTTTAACTTTTTCCTGGAATTATTTTGTTGTCCCTGTTCATTTTTCTCAGTAATTCAGCGAGAAAATGCCCCCCAGCGGCAAAACAAAGCGTTAAATGGGGTATAATTGCAAAATAACTGACTTCTGCAGCTTGTACAGAAATATAACAAGGATTGTTTAATTGTGTCTAAATGGACATTAACAGGCACAAGTACAGGTAAGTAAAGTGCGACATACTTCTGATGACAGCATACAAAAGTTACATTGTCTTAAGGCAACTTCCCGGAGGTACCTTGTCTAGTGTACCTCTGACTCAACTCATGGCTAAGGAGGGCCCCAAGACATTCCTTCTTGTCACATCCCTAGGCTCTTCCACCCAAAAGAGTAAGACGGTGGAATCTGACAATAAAAACACAAGACAATACTTAAATTCCAAAAATAAAATCCCTAATATAGTTTAACTGAAGGTTCAAATTTACAGTTTAAAGAACCAAGATATTGCGACAAGCTCATTGTTTACAAACAGGCTTTTACTGTTCTTATATAGCTAAAATACATTACTTTTCCCTATCACATTTTAAGGGAAAGATTGCACAATTCAGAGAGTTGCAGTAAATGAGTAAATTGATCTAAAAATAAAACAGTATTCCAAAACAAAAATGCTTCCACATAATGTTTACTTCTGTCTGTGTGCGGTAGAGAGTGAGCATCCGGTAGGCGGGGACTCACTGTGTTTGGACTAAAAAAAAACCTTTGACCTGCCAGGTTGTATTACAAGGCATAAGTAGCTAGGTTATGGCAGGTATTGGCAATGAAAATAAAGATATCGGATTTTCTGGAAGATAGTTAGAACTCATGAGCAACCTTTATGAATAAAATATATTTTTTTAGTGTGGGTTCAAATGAGAACTGTTGGAGAAACAAGAAACCACAAATGTATAACAGATAGTGGCACCTCTGGATAAAGTCTGAGTGGTTCCAGAGGAAAGAGAAGTAATAGGCCTTGCTAAGGCAGCATAGAAAAAGGAGGGCGATAATAGAATCCAGAATTATTACTTCATAGCTTAATGCCTACAAATGTAACCTATCGTACATGGACACTGTTATACAGTCATCTGAGTGTGTAATACTTAATAAGAGCAACAGGCATTATTGCATGTGCACAACACTCTGGCACTTATACTTGTGCTTGGTTGTGGTGAATGACGGTCAGGGTGGGAATTACCAGAAAAACGGATCGGAGTGGATGGGAACTATGATCACTGAAAAAGAACAGAACTGACAACTGAAAAAATGATAAGATATCAAAAGCTGGATTAGGCCGCTTCATTGTAGAATTTAGAGGACACTTATTCCAAAAAAAAAAATATCAGCATTGTTTTATCTCTCTATTATTGAGGGCATAGTGACACAATATATCAATCAAAAGTTAACTTTTGTACTATAGTGAGAAATTTCCATATGCAGAATGTGACATTTTCTTGCAGATGGAAATTTATCTCAAGTATCTAATTGGGGCAACCTTTCAGCATGTTAATGGATGCACCAAGCAACAGATCACCGTTTTCAGCCCTGCTATTTATGCAGTTCACTTTAGCAACAGTATTAGAGCATCTTAGCAAAAACAATATAACAGTTTCAACATAAATCAAGTTGTCAAATGTATACTTTTATGATGCTTCTGTAAGTTCTATTGATATTGCTCACCATTCATAAGGACTTTGTGCAGAGGTTATAAAGCTATTCGGGGTTTGGGGTGGCAGGTTCTTCAAACTGCTAACGAGGATTTCCAATTACGAAGCGGGCTAGGTAAGCGACGCTTCAAACAGCCATCACTCGGTGACTTATAAGGGGAGCTGGTTGTTGCCTGGCGGAGTGTGGCAATGGCTTGGTGTTGGCTTCACGGCTTGCAGGCGGCTTTTGGAGCCCTGTGGATTCCTTGTACCATGCCAGGCCTACACAGTATTCATGTTTGTTGAAAACCTGTAGGGTGACCTGAAATTTACAACAACAAAATATGTTGAAGACAGTAGATACTAGATTACTTACTTTGAGTGGTAAAGGAAAGTTGAATGCCGTGAAACCTACAATGAGAGATTATGGCATAGAGATAGATATTAGGATTCAAACTTCATGGTAGAGTCACTATCTTTGGGTCTTTAGCTTTAACTTTAATTCTGAAGCAATACTTAATCTCTTTAAATGCTACACTTTGATAAAATAAAAAAGCTTATATAGTTCTAAAATAAGTAATCATGTGGTATAAATATTCCACCTAAATGCATGCTCAATTTGGTTTAAACTGAATATGGGTGACTACTATTATTATGAATGATCATAGTCAGTATATAGTATATGTACCATTCTGCTATTATCACTGGTAGCATACATGCCTAAGCAAAGCAATCATTCCTGCTTAGTATTTTGTTATTATAATTAGATCTGATGGGAGTCCAATTAAGAACATAGATGACCTATAATGCCTACAGTCGTAGTGTTTCATAGAGCCCTTATATCAAGCCAAAAATACTATAACTGAACTTACCTTCTGTTTCCTCCTGCACTGTCTTCCTGCCCAGACTCCAGGTCACTGGTCTCCTCAGCTTTTCTACACTTCCTGGTAGCTTCACTCCACTCCGCTGAAATAGAATATTAACCCTTTCAGTCCTACATGTATCTGGACCAGTTGAAAAACACAAATCATACACATTAGTTCTGACTGGAAAGAAAGAATGATCATCTCTACAGAGTTTCAGGAGAAAACCACTCAAAACGAGTTAATTATTTGCAAAAACACTGAAAACACTAATGTTATTACATGTAATTTCAAATGCGTCACCTAACAACTCTCCTGAGAAAAATAAAGTGATATTCAGCTCCCTTGTGACTTAAACATGGACAACTGGACATGTAGTTCCAAAAAAAATACAGATCCAATCCAAAGTGATAATCTATTTCCTTATAATGATCAAAATTTATAGTTAGTGTAGGTAGTGCATTTAAGCATAGCACATCTAGTACAGACCATATGATGAGAATAAAATGGAGAAATACGTACACACATTTACATATATAAGAATTTCAGAAAGATAATATCCTTTTGAATTGAACTTACTGCTTTTTCATAAAATCCTTGATATAGGATAGGCTTTCCAGGTGTTGTCTGGAGGGATTTTATTCTTGGCAGCCTTTTCAACATCTGTTCTGTTTCTTAGGTGGATTGGCCACAACACACAGTTCCTTTCTTCTAGGTCAATCCAGTTGTCCGGAATGACTTCAACTTCTTTTCGAGAACTTTCCCCACTTGGACAGAATTCGGTTACAAGGAAATATGACATGTTTGTCGGGGACACAAGAAAGACCAAAAAACAATATACAGTTCTGATAAAAAATAAATTAGTAATGTGAGTGATCATTTGTCAATATGCAAAATTTCTTAACAAAAATTTAACATGGAATATTAATTAACTCATTTGCTATGGTAAATCAGCCAATTTTACCATTTACAAGTTTACCATGACCAATTTACCATTGATACAGAAAGCTGCTCCTGTCAACTCTGATGTCGCCTGTTAAATGATGGTATCCTGTCACACCTGTTTTTGAATATAATGGTTCAGAACAAACTTCTGTCAAAGAATATAATCATATACACTACAAGAATAGTCAGCAAGTGAAATACTGTGGATGGAACCTAGTATTGACATCTAGCGACTGGTAAGTACAAAACATAGCCTGCTGCAATTGCTGATGAAAAAAGGGAACAGTTAGGGGGAATACAGAGGCTGGGTTACAGGGGTGGATACACAGGGTGTATACATATGGGGTGCATACAGGGGTGGTTACCAAGGGTGGAAATAGGAGGAAGATACAATTGAAGGGGTTAAACCATCTGTACTTACAGGTAAGTACAGATGGTTTAACCCCTTAAATTATTACAAGTAAGTACAGATAGTTTAACCCCTTAAATACAGATGGTTTAACCCCTAGCATTAGAATGCTAGGGGATAAAGTAAGGTAAGGTAAGTACAGATAGTTTACAGATAGTAAGTACAGTAATCTCCAAATTCAGAGCAAAGTACCAACTACCAAGTACCAAATGTAGGGCTGTTCATGATCACCATGTAATCTTTTCATACTCTCTGGAAATAAAATTACTTTAAGCAAGCTGGCAAAAATGTGTGAAAATTGATGCAGTCTTTGTTAAATGTGCCAAAACCTGTACATCAATTTATTCATGAACAGAATGTAGTATTCAAGCCAATGCGTCACCTGCATATAAATGGCACCAATTTATTGGTCAACTTTGAATTCTGCAAGACTAAAGCTAACTTTATCTTTATCTAACTTTATCATAGTCAACAGCGACTTTCAACCCAATCATTTTTATCTGTAGTGTATCTATGAAATTTAAAGTGAATTACTATACATGCAAAATTATTCCTTTTTTCTACTCATATTTGTGGTTTAAGTGAAAATTAAATAGGCTAGCTCCTTCAGAATTTGCAATGCAGTAAGGGAATCAAGATAAATTTTGTTTTATATGGCAATCTCACATATTTGCAAGTTATAGCAGAAAATTTGGCCAATCTCAACCTACTAGTGGCACCATTAACTTTCACTATTCCCAGGTCAGATGATTTCAGTGGCATGGTAAAGAAGTCCTCAAATGATGTAAATGGTTCAAAATATATCATTGGTTCAGAGTTGCTGTTATCCAGAACAATATTCCTAATCAATCCAAAATGCTGCCCTACCCTTATGCAGTTATCACTCTCTTTAATAGAGAAAAAAATGTCATTGTGCTTTACACATTTATACTGAGAAAAGGCAGCATATCCAACAAACACTGGTCCATTGTGGTGTTCATGACTGAACTCAAAATCCTTCTTGTAAGATCGCTGTTTTTTACTGAGAGCACAATCAGCTTCAGACAAACGTCGTATCACCTGAGCTAGTGGTTGGTTAGGTTTTCTGACCATTTTCTTCAGTCTACCCAAAAAATTCTCAAATGGGAAAGCTGAAAAAGAATCTAGAGTGCCATAATTTTTAGCATCTGCTGCTAAGTGAACAAGGCAATGGACATTATAGGTTTGTGTTTCAAGACCATAATATGTACTCCAATCACTAACAAACTTTGAAAGCAACTGCCCAGCATAATCACAGTGGGTCCTAATGTGGAATGGACTAGAAAGACAGAAACATGCCACTGCAAAAAGTAAAAAGTGATTATAATACCCATCATTAAGGTTCTGTTTCAAGACCACTATTCCAGTATTCAGTGGCCTTCCATCGCTCAAACTCTGACAAATGACGTGGTTTCCTATTAAATGACAGTGGAATAAATGGCTTACATGACTGAAGAGCTTCTGAAATATTTGCTGCCAATCTAGTACCAATCCGACTGCCTGAAGCAAGAGGTCCCTTAAGCCAACACCAGATCAAACGCTTCATAACTCCGAAAAAAAACAAATGCATGGGATCTAGTGGAAACTGTGTGACCATCTGACATAAACCAGAAAGAGGTGATGTACCAATATGATGTTCTGGCTGTGACTCATTGTCAAAGGCAGCATCAGTCCTGATTTGAGCATCAACCTCTGTGAAAATAACTTTGTTCTTCCACTCTCCCTTTTGGACACATTTGTCACAACCAAAATAAGCATTGTGAGGTTTTGTTTGTTTGACAAATGCTCTAGCAGGAGCATCACAAATGTAACTAGATACATGAACACCCACATTGTTCTGTGATCTGAATGCCTTCCTGTAGAGTAAGCCTCAGCTCTGAGACAAAGTCACCAAGATACTCATTGATGTTGCTTGGCTTTCCCTTCCCACAAAATAAACCAATGACAAATGGGTCCAAGTCATCTGGTAGGATAATTTTCCTAATATCGGCCAAAATTGAGTATTGGCACTTTTAAAAATTGGAAGACCATCAATATTGATTTGGAGTTGGATTTTCCCATTAGATGAATTGAAGAATTCTGCATGCTTGTCTAGAAGCTCTGAAGTAAAGGTTTTGATACCTTTCTCTAAACCAAAGTAATAGTAATCACCACCAGCCTTATTCAGCAACTCATAATCTTGGGCAGTTTTGAGCAATGTCCGAGGATCCTTTGGTAAACTAGGCAAGTGGGGGCACAGAATTGAGAGAAGCTTCAGTAAGTGGTCATTTGGAGTTCTTGTTTCAACAACCCATGCTGCAGGTTTAGAGTTAAAGTGTGCTTTTGTGTCATTTTCTTCATCAGAAATTTCAGAATTAGTTGACTCATCTTCAGATAGTGAATAATATTCAGATATATCTGAATTTATTTCACAATCTGGCAGGTGTAAATTTTCATAAAGAAGCTCCTCATGCATATCAGGAGGATCACTGGGGGGATCACTGGATATCAAGCTCACATCATTGCTTGCTAAGGCAAGTTCCAAACACCTAGCTTCAGAATCAACAGTATGAAACAATGTTTGGTCAGTTGACACTTCAACATTTTCAACAATGCCCTCAGTATCATCATTGTGCAACCCTTCATTATCACAACCATCAGATAATGAGGAACCAGCACAGTTTGGAAAAATTTGATGTTGAGAATCATATCCTACACCATCTAATTCTGAGCCTGAATCTGAAGCGCTGCAATCAATTTCCTGAATACTCCAAATATAGTCAGAAACTAATTTCTTTCTTCTTCTCCATCGCTGAACACGTGAAGTTCCAGGTCTTTTGATACCTCGAAGAGAATTGTCCATGGGTACAGATAAAACTAGTGACCAGAAATTTATGTAACGAAACAGATTGATACAAAAAGGTCTATTTGAGACAGTACAAAACAATTAACAGAACCTCTAATAAACATTTTGTTTGGATCAGACAGTGGAAAATGATAGGCCCTGAGATTAAACCTGGTCAAGACAATACCAAAGATATGTGAAAATATATGCTGTTTCAATAACTGAAGTCAGCATATAGAACAGTTTAATGAAAAATACCTTCAACTTTAGGTCAGGTATATCATAACTGTGACCTATATTTTTTTCCATCAAATAAATATGGAATAATATATACCAAAAGGAGGGATAATGAGGATGCAACCTGTAATTAGCTGTGTCTACATTAAAGAAAACACCCCACAATTTTTTATGTTTTTTTATGAAAAATGGCAACTGTTAGGATTCTAAACAAATACTGTTGATATTCATAACTTTCATAAAAATCAGAAGACTTATTTTATTTAAACCAACACAGAGACATGCATGATGGTATAGAAGGCATGTCAAATAAAGACTTATATGAAAAATTCATATCACAGGCTCTTGATAAGTCCTTGTAAAAATAAAAAATAGTGTTTTAACGAGAAACTAGAAATAATCTGCAAGGGTGATACATTAGCATGCATGGATTATTTTCCAGTGTTTAAAAGAAAATGTTTTAAAATATTAAAAAAATAAAACCACATTAGTGAACGCTATGTTTTGGTGGTCACAGCAATCTTTTCTGTGACACAATTAGGATATGTTGGTTTGTTTACTTGTAGAGGTAAAAAATTCTCACAAACTTAAATTGTTAAAGAAGCAAATTATAACAATTCTAATATTCATTCATTGTATCTGATAATTACAATGTAAGTAATGTAGAAGGTATTCAGTATACAAAAGGCCTGTGAAGTATTTCAGGTAAGCATCTAAAAACTAATATTTGAACAGAAAAAAACAATTTTCCAACATGACTGTATGAATAGCCACTGTTATTTTTTATCATTAAGACTACTAAAACCATTTTCACTAATGCTAAAGGCTGCTGCTGGGAAAATACACACATGAAGTTAATAACTCTTGTTTAAGTAAGGACAGTGCCGCCGACTATGAAGAATAATTACGTTTTATTTCTTCTGAGGGCGCCAGTCCCGCACTACTCTCTCTAGTAACTCGTGCAGCGCTCCTGGCGGAGAAAATGTACAATTTTCATTTTCTCCACCAAAGAGCCCTTTCTGCACTATTCTAATATTTTTTATGTTGAATAAAAGATTGGCAGTAAAGGGTCTAAAAGCTGACGAGAGATCGTACTAAAATGTTCTGTTTATTAGAGGCGCCTGTCAAAATCTACAAAATGTGATTTGCCCGAATGCCGGGGACTCGAATCGAATCCCCGAATGCCGGGGACTCGAATATCGGTTATACAAAGAGAAGTGCAGAAAAGTGCTCCCTCCCGGACAAAGTGTGGGAAATCTGGAAAAGTATTCGCCAGAGGCCGCTTTCAAAGAATAGTTAGAAGGCATTTATGTTCGTGAAATAAAATTAAATGATACCATGAAATATTTCGAGACTTCATGAAAAGATTTTATGATATTATGACCCTTTTTGTGGTATTATAAAATCTTTTCATGATTTCATGAAATATTTCAAATAATTCATGAAATCATGAAATGATTTTATAATACCACAAAAAGGGTTTGTGATACAAAATCCTTATATAATATCCTAAAAGCTTTTCATAATACCATAAAATATTTTGTAATATCATAAAAACTTTGAAACCTACTGATATGATGTTTTTGTGATATGATATCATAAGAGATTTTGTTATATTATCATAAAAAGATTGTGTGATATCACAAAATCTTTATGATATGTGGAAAAATTTTATGATATCACAAGAAGATTTTATGATTGCGCAAAATATTTTTATGATATACAAATATTTTTGATATCCAATAAAATATTTTAGGATATCGTGAAATATTTCGTTATATCACTATACACATTGAGTAAACGATAAAACTGCTTGCAATGGATCTAGTGAGCGTTATTTTCGTTTATGTGGAATGCTAAAATATTGTATTGCTCTGTGGTCGCTGTAATCTGTCTATAAGTTATACTGACATTTAATATAACTTATAATATGTTGCCCACATGAGCCCCATATAGGTACCATGTGTGGTACAACACACATGGTACCCAAATGGGGCCCACATGGGCAAAAGTGGGCAAACATCAATATCATGCTGCCCATATATACCCACATCATCCCCATACAGGCCCCATATAAAATATATGGGTCCCATTTTGCCCACATGAATACCCATGTGGGCCCCATAAATTTTTGCTATCTGGGTACAACTTACCGATATATGAGAGAAATTGGGTTGGAAATGTAGCATAAATTTCTGGTGGGACCTTCACTGCAAAAAAATTCGTCTGCTTGATTGTTTTGTCATACCGGGCAGCAAATGTTGCCAGATTCACAATCTGGTTGATCCCTAGGAGGGTAATGAGGTTCACGACAGTGTCTTCGCCACCCCCATCATCAGTAGTATTGTCAACGGCCAGACTTATTGAAGTAGCATTGGAATGGTAATCTATTGGCATTTCTGATCTGTAAGACCATTATATACCATGAATTTGGAGTTTTCCAGTGGTTGTATGGTAGATGGAATGGTAGTTCAGGGGAACTCCACATTCCATTGAAGCTACAGAGTGTGGTGTTTATCCTATGGAGGGATAAGCCTCTAGTGTTTTACATGGCACTATAGACACCTGGTCTCGGGGACATAAGGGTGATCCTCTATAGGCCTTGTAAACAAGGGCACCACTGTGCTCTGTGCTGGGTCGGCACGGTCACGGGAGGCCGAGGCGCTTATGTGGCACTTGTGCCGCAGTTCAGTACTAACTGTCGTCGAACATGAGTGTTCGTGGGGATTTATCTTGGGTAGATATTCCTAATTTCGGTTATAACAGTACTGAATTCCGTGTGACTATACGAAGTAGATGAGACATGGGTCTGCATCTCTTCGTACTCTCCAAGGGGAGAATTTTGGACTCGTCAGGAGACGAGGAAATTCAATTGTAACAGTAAGTACCCATTAAAGGTATAACATTATTTCATGTGTTTATAATCACCAATTGATATAATACTGAAATAAGTGAAGTTTACAAGAAGGAAAGTCATACGTAAAACTGGACGTATTATTCTTATAACAAACACTGAACCCGCTCTGGAGAGAGTGGAATAAAAATCTGTTATCCAGTGGCCTACACGCGAGTAT